GTATCATGTCATCTCCAAACAGTGCAAGTTTTACTTCTTCCTTTCCAATTCGTATTCCTGTTATTTCTTTTCCTGGTCTGAGCGCTGTAAGTAGGACTTCCAAGACTGTGTTGAATAAAAGTGATGAGAGTGGGCATCCTTGTCTTGTTCATGATCTTAGAGGGAATGCTTTCAGCTTTTCAGTGTTGAATATGTTGTTAGCAATGGGATTGTCATATATGGCTTTTGTTACCTTGAGGTATGTTCCCTCTTTGCCCACTTTTTGGAGCGTTTTTATCACAAATGAATGTTGAATTTTGTCAAAAGCTTTTTTTTTTTTTGCATCTATCGAGATGATCATATGGTTTTTATGCTTCAGTTTTTTAATGTGGTGTATCACATTGATTGATTTGTGGATATTGAAAAATCCTTGTATCCCAGGGATAGATCCCATTTGATCATGGTATATGACCCACGTATTGCTGGATTTAGTTTGTTGATACTTTGTTGAGAAAACTTGCATCTATATTTATCAGTGATATTTGCATGTAATGATTTCTTGTGGTGTCTTTGCTTTTTGTATCAGGGTGATGCTGGCCTCAAAGAATGATTTTGGAAGTGTTCCTTCCTCCTCTGTAATTTCTTAGAATGGTTTGAGAAGCAAAGGTGTTAACTCTTTTCTAATTGTTTGGTAGAATTCACCTGTGGAACCATCTGGTCCTGGATTTTTTTTTCTTTTTTTTTCTTTTTTTTTTTGGTTGGGAGTTTTTTTTTTTATACTGATTCCATTTTATTATTGGTAATTGATCTGTTCATGTTCTATATTTCTTCCTGATTCAGTCTTGGAAGATTGTACATTTCAAGGAATGTAGGAACTTGTCCATTTCTTCTAGTTGCTTGTCTGGGACCCTTTTGATCTCCATCAAATCCGAACAAAAGCCTTGCTGGATTGATTATTCTTAGCTGCATGTTTTCCCCTTTCATCACTTTAAATATCATGCCACTACTCCCTTCTGGTCTGCAGAGATAACTTTTGCTGAAAAGTTATCTAATAGCCTTTTGAATTCCTTTATACATAGCGGATTGTTTACCCCTGCTGCTTTTAATATTCTTTCGTCTTTAATTTTTGCCATTTTAATTACAATATGTCTTGGTGTGTTCCTCTTTGGGTTAATCCTGTGTGGGACTTTGTGCTTCCTGGACGTGGACGTCTTTTTCCTTTTCCAGGTTAGGAAATGTCTTCAGTTATATTCTCAGCCCCCCTCTCTCTCTCTTTTCCTTCTGAGACTTCTATAATGCAAATATTAATGTGCTTCTTGTTGTCCCAGAGGTCTCTTAAAAGTCCTTGTTTCTTTTCATTCTTTCGTCTTTTTCTTTCTTTCTTTTTTTTTTCTGTTCAGCATCAGTGATTTCTACTGCTCTGGGTTACAGCTTACTGATCCATTCCTCTGTATCATTTAGTCTGTTGTTGATTCGTTCTAGTGTATTTTTCATTTCAGTTACTGTATTTTCATCTGTGTTTGGTTGTTCTTTATATTTTCTCTTTGTTAAAAACTTCTTATTTTGTGCATTAGTTCTTCTCCTGAGTTCTTTGATCATCTTTACAGTCACTACCCTGAACTCTTTTTCAGGTATACTGTCCATCTCTACTTCCTTTAGTTCTTCCTCTGGGGTTTTATCTTGTTCCTTCATTTGGAACCTTATTCCTTTGTTGACTAATTTTGCCTAACTTACTGTTTTTGTGTATCAAGTAGGTTGATGATGTTTTCCAGTCTTAAAGAAGTGACCTTTTTTAGGATACATCCTGTGCATCCCAGCAGTGCACTCCCCTCTTGTCACCAGAGCTATATGCTCTGGAGGCTCTCCATATGAGGGCTGTGTGGGTCTTTCTATTGTGGCAGGTTGACTGCATGGGCAGTCTGGTAGGCTCGTTTGGACCCTAGCTCCATTTGTTTTTTAGGTTCTGTCTTGTGCGGGGGCTGCAAGCACTGGTTGCCAAGACCAGGTAATGAGGTGGCTGGCTGCAGAACCCAGGGGGCAGGGGGCTTAGGGCTCGTGCTGATTTACTGGTAGGCAGAGTCAGAGTCCAGGAGACCTGGGGGTTGTTGCCTGCTGATTGGTAGATGAAGTCAAGTCTGGGGACTAGTGTCAGCCAGATCCTGGGGTCTCACAGCAGGTGTCAGATCACTGGTGGGTAGGGCCAATTCCTGGCACTGTTGGCTACAGGGCCCAGGGTATCTTGAAGCTTGTGTTGGCCTGTTAGTGGACAGAGTCTCATCCCAGTAGGTTCCAAAGCAGGATCTTGCCTGCTAGTGAGTAGGCCAAGTCCACAGATTACAAGACTGTTCTTCCTTGTGGCTGGTGCCTGCCCCCAGGGGTAGAGCTTGCTTGCTAGTTTAGAGCAGGCTTGCTAGTGGGCAGTCCAGGGCCCCAGGTATTCTGTGGATGGTGCCTCCCTACTCGTAGATGGAGCTAAGTTGAAGGGTCTCTGGCTGGAGGGCCCTGGGGGTCTCCAGTCTAGTGTGTGTGCACTGGTGCATAGAGCCAGGTCCTGGGCCCTCTGATGGGCCGAGTTGTGTCCAGAGGCGGCTGTGGGCTCAGGAGGGTCTATTGATGGGTGGGGCTTTGTCCATGCCCATTGAGTTGCTTGGCCTGAGGCATCCCAGCGCTGGTGGTCAGGACTGTGGATCATGGCAGGGCCAGGTCCTGGGGCTAATAAGCTAGACGGAAGATTCCAAAATGGTGTTTACCAGTGCCAGTGTCCACGTGGTAGACGGAGCTCCCCAAAATGGTTGCCACCAGTGTTTATGGCCCCAGGGCAAGCTGTAGTTGCCCTCTTGCTTTCTGGGAGTCTCTCTAGATTAGCAGGTAGGTCTGACCCAGGCTCCTATCAAACAACTTCTTCTGGCCTGAGTTCTGAAACATGTGATATTTTGTGTACACCCTTTAAAAGTGAAGTCTCTATTTCTCCAGCCCTCTGGGACTCTCATACAAAGTCCCAGTGGCTTTCAAAGCCAGTGCTGTGGGGGCTCATCATCCTGGAGAGGACCCCTGGGCTGGGATGCCTGACATGGGGCTCAGACCTCTCATTCATTTGGGAGAGCCTCTGCAGTTGTAATTATTCTGTTTGTGGATTGCCCACCCTCAGGGTATGGGACATGATATATCACAACTCTGCCCCTCCTACCCACCTCGTTGTGGTTCCTTCTTTATATCTTTAGTTGCAGACCTTTTTTTATAGGTTCCAATCTTTAAAAGCATTAGATTTAGATCTACTATGTTATTTTCTGGCTTTCCCCTCTGTTGTTATTATAATTTCTTTGTTCCTCTTTCTTTCCTTCTTTTGGATTATTTAAATCATTTTGAATCCCAGCTTGAGTTATCTTGTAGATGTTTAGTTATACACCTTTTCATTTGTTTTTTTAGTTGTTGCTCTGGGCATTACAATCTGTATTAACATTTTAAAGCACACACAGTCATAAATCCCTAGTTATTCTTGTGTCAGTAATCTAGATTTTTTTCTGGTTATTATGAATTTTATATTGTACAGATCCTCTTATATTCTAAATGGGTTAAACTCTAACTTCCAGCTCTCTTCTAGGCAGCATCCCAAATCTCAGTCAAATTCATTTGCCTCTGAGTACACTAGTTTGAGTATACCCCACACATACATGGTTCAGAAGGCAGGAAGAAATGTTAGTAGCCATTAAACATGGATCTTGGGGCTCCCCTCTTTGGCCTTGTTCATTTCAAGCATTCCCAAACCCATCACTTGGTGGTGATTGTGGCCACCATAAACTTTTCTCCAATTCTTCATGCCAGAAGCTTAGTGGAATTTCTGTCATAGCTTCTGCCACCCACACCATCATGAATCTTGATTTACCTTCATTTTAAGTAGACACAAATGGATAACTGAACACAAGCTGGTCTTTTCCAAGTTTTAACTCCCTTCCAAAATCTGCATGTTTTTGTTCAGTCTCTAGAAACTTGATGTTGTTAATTTGGCATGTTATCCAGTGTTCATTATTTTATCTGAGGAAAGGGCTTCTGTTAGGAGCTAATTCTGATATGACTTTCTGAAACATGCAAAGCTTTTTTGTCTCTGTAATGTCTCACACTCTGGGCTTGACTGTTTCCTCATGGTCCTTTATTCCTCTGTCCCTTGTATCTTTTTAAACATGGATGTTTATTTTAAAATTTTGCTGGTTTTAGTTTAAATACTTTGTGATGAGAATAATTTTATGTACTTCTTACTGCATCATATGGAAAATAATTTCAGGTGTCTCTCTATAAGTGATGCTGTGATGATTAAGGTAGTCACTGCCAGCTCCCTCCCTTGTAAACACAAAAATTTCCCTTGGCAAAACATAAGTAATCTGTTGTGTTAAATCTTGGCACTGTGCAAATATTCTGTTTTCCCCATCGTCTTTTGAAAATCTTTGCCTGAGTCATATATTTGGGGTGATAAAATGGTAGCTTTCCTAATTCTATGAATTCTTCATTTACTAGTTGACGTAAAGAGACAGTTTTTTAAAATTATAACGTGAGACTTAGTTTTTAACTAACTACTATGGTGTGTGTGTGTATGTGTGTATCTGTGTATGTATGTGTGTATGTGTGTATGTGAAAGATCTACTCTAGAGACCATCAAGGCAGCAGGTGAGGAGGTAGTCCCAGGACACATCGGCAAGGGCACTGTGGAGCAGATATGAGGAGTCTTACACTTTAAGCTCAGCACTGAGACCAGAACATGAAAGCAGATTCTAAGGGTATAAAACCAACCTGGAAATTTGAATGAGACCACTTGCCAGTTATTCATATTTTAGACACTAATTTGCATTCTGTATATCTAAGCCTGAAATTGTAATTTAAAAAGTCAGCCATTTTAAGAGTTTGAAAATTGTGACTTGGCCATACCAAATAAATCCTTGGACTGTTATGGTAAGTATATGTCTAAACATCCTGTGTCTTTTTATTAAGAAGCAGATATTTACAGACACTGCTGAACAAAAGGAAAAAGAAGGAAGATTGCAGGAGAGAAAATATACTCTGATGGACCTTTAAGAATACCAAGAAAAACAAAGTAAATTAGTATGATAAATTTAGATAACTTTATAAATAAGGTGTTTAACCGCTGTGTGTGGAGGTATGCTTAGAACTTCTTGGTAATGGAGGACACTTTGGAAGTCAGCTGTATTATCAGTGCATGTGATATTTGATGGAGGCACTGAGTTGCAACTGACTAAAAATGTCCCAATAGACACTCTGTTCCCTGGGGGCAGCCTGTCTCATCATTAGATAATCCTATTTTCTTGCATACAGATAGAACATACATAACTCTGTAGCATTAACATACTTACCCAGTTTCAAACAAACACATATTGAGCACCTACTAAATAGCAGTGTGTGATTCAAGTACTAGGCACCACACATTATAAGAACAATTGCTATAATATGACTTTATATGATATAGTATGCTTTAAATATTTGAATTGATCTGAGAAGACTTCAATACACACAGAAACTAAAGATGCCATGGAAAATAGTGTAGGCTCGTTTAGTTTTCAAGAAAAAAATAAAATATATACATTTACTAATGATTATAATTATGTTCATCATAATATGGGAACTTCAGTGGAATTGATTTTATGGGAACTGCTATTCATAACCATTTATGTTAAATTATTTTGATTTTCATAATTTGGGAATTAGTAGAAAGAATGAATTCCCTTTTATCCTGGTTTCTTCTGTCTACCAGTTAAAAGTGAAATTAAGGTTCTAATAGGATATTTACATTATTAAAACCAAATATATACTTCTGTTCAGTGAATATCAATATATAAAAATAAAACAGCATTGCCGGGCGTCAGTAGGGACTCCGGTTATTAGCACGCCTGCCTCTGCACCAGTGCTGGGTGCCGGCCGGCTGCGCGTGCCGCTCCACTGCCTAATGACCTCCCACTGCATTTCATCTGAATGTTGTTCTGACAGCTTTAATCAGCCGTAAAAATGGTCCCATACAAAAACCTTCAGATAGTTTGCCTAAGTATTCAATATTGTCATAAATATTAAGCTTTGTGTTTAATGTTCACTCTTCCCCTACCTCAACCCCAATTATGCTTTTCAAATAAAATTGAGCTACACAGTAAAAAGCTCAATAGAATATGATTAATTAGCATCCATTTCCCCCAACAGTGGGATCCTCCTCTTCAGCAAGGGAAAGCACGTGGGAAATATCCCTGCTGAACAAATTAGGCCAGGAAATCTCTCTCACTGAGTAAAAAGGGATATAAATTCATCACTCAGTATTCAAATGGAAAATATACTGTTGGTATATTGCCTACCCCAGTTGAAATACTTACACAAAAGCAACAGTAATAAAAGATCAGGCAGGAATTCCATTATGCTTCATTTCCATGAAGTCAGGCAGTTAAGTGTACCTGACAAAGGTATAGTTGTGTGGGCTCTATCTCCACACACCAGGTGGCTAACTGTCATGAGCAGCTTAAAGAAACCTGACACTGCGAAACCACTATGCCCCCATAAAGAGTTCTGGGATCCTTTATTTTCACAATTGAATGTTGAGAGAGAGCTTCGTTCATGAGTAGCATCACACACCAGGAACACTGTCCCACTCGCAGCTCTGCAGAGAATAGCATGCTGAAAGTCTGCTTTCTGCTGAGAGCTATGTTCATCTTTGGTGCTGGGGTTGCAGGCAGACAAGCAGAGGCATCCGGAGCCGGGATGTGTTCAGAGTGAGACCCCGCAGGCAGACCTGAAACAGAAGCAAGGACAGTTAATGCTTCAGTGATTTGGGGGAGGACAACAGCCACATATCTATTTCTACCAGGCTGGGGCTTCCACAAACAGATGAATGAGCTTCAGGAAACGTAAACCACTCGTCATCCTTCTGTCCCAGGCCCTGAACACAATGCCGGGCTCAACTGAACACAGTGCCTGGCTCAATACATTTCTTATTCTTATTGAGACTTCCCATCACCACCAGTACCTAAATTATTTTAAAAGATGTCCATAATATCTGAGTTACTTTTGGATATATGTAGAAAGTGGCCTTACATTTCTTTTATGTTAATTTGTGTGCTTAATATAGAGCATTTCACTTTACTTGACGGTAAGAGTTCCTGCAAGGCTGTGAAAAAAGAAATTCATCATAGCTGAACTAGAGCTTTCACTAAATCAGTGATGGAAAGGCTGACAAAAAAAAATGCGGGGCTACTGTCGTGACAGAGATTTCAATGATGAGTGGTCACTAAATCAGGGGCTGTTTTTTCAACTCTCAACTTATTTTATCAGTAACAAATAGTCCAGTTTATCAGTTTATATCTTACATTTTGTCAGCTACCTAAATGTGAATAAAAGTGAAAGATGGAAGTTAAGTAATTCGTGTTATTCATTTGTTTTCAACAGTGTTCATAACGCTGTTTACAATAGCCAAGTTAAGAAAGTAACCTCAGTGTCAGTCAACAGATGATTGAATAAAGAAATTGTGGTGTGTGTATGTATATACACACACATACACACACACACACACAGGAATACTACTCAGTCACTAAAAATGCCATTTGCAACAACGTAGATAGACCTGGAGATTGTCATTCTAAGTTAAGTAAGCCAGAAGGAGAAAGTCTCATACCATATGATATCACCTATATATGGGCTTTTTAAAGAAATGACACAAATGAACTTATTTACAAAACAGAAATAGACTCACAGACATAGAAAACAGACTTATGGTTACCCCAGGGGGTGGAGGAATAAATTGAGAGTTCAGGATTTGCAGATACTAACTACTATATGTAAAATCAACAACAAGTCCCTACTGCAGAGCACAGGGAACTATACAATACCTTGTAACAGCCTATAATGAAAAAGAGTATGAGAAGGAATATATATATATGTGTGTGTGTGTGTGTGTGTATGTCTATGTATATATGTATATGTATGTATAACTGAATCACTATGCTGTACACCAGAAATTACACATTGTAAACTGACTATATTTCAATTAAAAAATAAAGGCTATCAAATGTTTATTAAATAAATTATGATATACTCATATGATGGAATAGCTTATGGTTATGCAGACATTTAAAAGCATGTGACATGAAGAAATGTTTGTAGTGTAATGTTTAAAGTAAAAAGCAGTTTAAAGAATGACATACAATTTGACACAAAAAATGTTGGTAGAGTATACATTTAATAGATCAGTGGATGTAAAGCAAGTACTCAGTGCAATCACATAAAATATGGACTGTAGATCTTGGATGTTGTCATCCTGTATTTTTTGTTTGGTAAACAGCATTTTTCCTTTAAAAATATCTCCTGAATATGACCTCATGTCACTAAGTGTCTTGCAGAAACATTAACAGCTGTCCATTATATTGATATACCTAATTTTATATAATCAGGCAACTACATAGAAGTTATATGGAACATTCAAAGAGTTAAAATGACACTTTCGGGGGGAAAAAAGGAGCAAACCATACCAGGCTGATAATAAAGCTGTGACAAACAACACAATAACTGAACGTTTATCTAGGTTCAGATTTTTGTTTCCTATTCTGGATTATGAGTCGTTAGAAATTTCCTATTTTGATCAGGTTGCTTGGAATGACTTCTCTCAGTGTGGGTTACAAATTTCTAAATAACACTCCCATTTATGTATCGTTACAATGTTCACTTCCCTATTAACCTAGAATAACTTAAAGCAAAAGCAATTCAAGCACTGCTATTTTGTACCACCAAAAAAAATTACCACATTTCATACTATACAGAAAGCTTTACCTTAGTTCTCTAATTCATCATCTTTTACTGAATATGAGAGAATGTTAAAAGGAAGAACTGACCCCCACTTTACTCTTTACCTTCAGCCACTTTATTAATATTAACATAAGGTCAGTAGTAACTGTTACATTTTTTTCATTATTTACAAAAAAAATTAAATAGATGGTAAATGTTTATAATAGTGTTCTCTATTTGATTCAAACCACAGTTTTTATTGGATAAACTTTTCCAGTAATTTTGGCTTATTTTATTTTTCTATGAATTGATTTTCTTAAAGATTCTCTTAAATATTTGGGTATTAGATGAGCTTATACCTTCAATAGTAATGTTTTTATCTTTGCTTTCTCATCAGTAGACCTCAAGATGCATCAGCTATTTCTGACATTTGTCATTTCTACTAGTCCCACATTTAAGACTAGATTTATTCAATTTATTTACTTACTTATTTATTTTAATTGAAGTACAGTTACAGTGTGTCATTTTCTAGTGTACAGCATAATGTCCTAGTCATGTATATCCACATATATATTCGTTTTCATATTCTTTTTCATTAAAGTTTATATTCAGTTTATTTTCAGTTGGCATCCCAACACTTGTGAATCTTTGGTATTCTTTGGCCTTCAAGCCCCAGTATGCAGTCATGAAAACTGGAAGAAGAATCTTGGGAGAAGTGGCAGTAGTCCCTCGCTGCTTATCTGTCTTGGATCAGTGAATCCGTGTGAAAGCACTGATGAACTAAGTTATCATGGTGCTGTTCTCGAGAGACTAATTTCTAATGGTGTTCTTTTGAAAGGAATGCAAAATAACTAAATTTAAATTTGAGTGCCAACTAAAAATAAATTGAATGTCTTGTGTCTCAGCACTTAACAGCTCCCTAATGGGCTTTAAACCACTATCCACTATTACTGAGGGATGACTTCCAATTTATAAGCCCGACACTTTTGTCATTTAAAAAACCTGTACTGTAAAAATACTGTGATGTTGCATTAAACTGAAACATTACTGTGGGAATAGAAAACCTTTTTTTTTTTTTGCCTTCAGAGTTATCTCTAGTCTCAATCCTGACTGTTTAGCTAAAACCAAAGACCACTCTCTTGATCATTGTGGATGGTTTTTTTCATCCTAAAATCCAGACATCAACCCGCACACAGAGAGAACACTATACCTAGGGACATCGTAGAACACTGCTGAAAACCAAGCACAAAGAGAAACTTTAAAATCAACTAAGAAAAGGAGACATTTTAAAACAGAGTAATAAAACAGGCAGTTAAATTCCCAACTAAACTGGAGGCTAGAAGGTAATAGAGTTGATAATTTCTGCCAACATTGAACTTTATATGCAGTGAAAATATCCTTCAAAAATAAAGATCAAAAATTCATACAATGAAAAAAAATTAATTTATCATCAGCATGACTACACTAAAGATAATACTTAATGAAAGGCTTTCATTAAGCAAAAGAAAAGTGATCCTAGATAGAAGTATAGAAATTCAGGAAGAAACAGAGCAACAATGGCTAAACATAGATGAATACAATTACATACAGAATGCTAACAATCAACCTTGTGGGGTTTAAAATGTATTGGAAATTAATACACATGGTATACATATAATAATAAAAGTTTCAAAACTCAGTAGTGTTTCAAAAAGGTGGGAGGAAAGTATAAATGTAGTGAGTGTTTCAGCTTCTTTATCTAGAAAATATAAGAATTTTCATTCATATTACATGCATGTTTATTCTATAGAGGAACCACTAAAAAATAATAGCAGAATGTATTACTAAGTTAGTAGAGTAACTTCTAGTAAAATGGAAAAATAGTACATCAAAATGAAGCCAAGAAAAGGTGTTAATATATATTAAAAAGACAAATGAGAAATAGTAAGATGATAGATTTATTATTAACTAAATCAATAATCACTTTAAATTTAAGCTGACCTTGTTATTAACTTATTAAAAATATTTATCAGATGCCTGTTAATGTAAGTTATTCTGCTGGATGATTGCCTCCTGAAGATAGTCGATTCTTCAGATAAGCTATGTCATAGGCATTGTACTAGTTTTAATAATCTAAAGAGATCTCATTATGCACATAGGTGTGTTTTTTCTATTTCAATCAGACATATTGAAAGATTTAACAAAAATAAATGAAAGTAGATTTTTACATAACCTGGCATAAATGACACTGTCCCTGCCTAAAATTATATTTTACTTCCATCCTTCCCTCTCTCAAAATGTTCTGAGGGCTTTATTCTCTCTAAAGTTCATTCACATGTGCTCCAATTCTCAACTCTAACAAGGTATATCTAGCAGATTTCTTCTTTTTCTATATTTTAAAGTTATTAAATATCTTTCTGTGGAAAACAGTATCAATGCTCAGGACCCACCTCAAACCAACTAAATCAAAATCTCCAGTGCAAGACTAAAGCTTTGACTTTTTTAATGCTTACCAGCTAAGTGGCATAAGGGAGCGTACAGTAATGTTGGAAATGTATGTTTTCAACAGGATAATGATTTCATGGGTCAACACTTTTGTAAATATTTACTGAGCTGTATACTCCAGTGGATATTCATTTTATGCAAGTTACAATGCAATAGAACTTTAAAAAAAATCAAATCTTCCCCAAATGATTCTAATGCGCAGCTTTACTTAGAACTACTAAAGTAAAGAGGAAAAAAATACAGTCAAAAAAGATTTGGGTGGTTAATATAGATAAGAATGGGAAAAAAACATTCTATTATATAGCATTAGTAGAATTAGGAAGTTATTAAATATGGAGTTATAAAGAAAAAGGAAACATGTCAGGTAATTAAGAATTAACAGATTGGAATAAGAAACTGGGATGGAAGATACAACTGGTGCTTAGGAACTTGGATAGAGGTGGCTGCACCTGAAGTAAGATAAAAAGTTTAGTTCCCAGTGAGTTTCAGAGATCATAAAAATGCACAAGTACATATGCCCTGAAGATAGTG